AGGCGGGGCGGGGGCCGGCGGCGGCGCGGGGCGGCGGGCGCGGGAGCGGCGCCGCGGAGGAAACTTTGTTACAACATGGAGTTTCCTCCGCCCGGGCTGGGGCTGCAAACATGGATCCCGGGCGCGGTTTCAAGGAACCCCTTAAAAGGGCAACGGCGGCGGGGGGGGCCCTCCTCCTTCTCCCGCCTCCTCCCGGCACCCGCGCCGCCCGGCTGGAGTGGGGGGCGTTACCTTTCTCCTGAAGCGGGGCGCTCCCCTCCTCCCTGCTAACCTGGGCGATGATGGACTGGTGCTCCATGGGCGCCGGGGAGGGGGTGGGACCGAGACGGGGAGTGTTCCGTGGTTTGGCTGGGAAGGACACCCACTTTGCTTAATGGTGAGCGTGCAAGAGTGCCCGACACGCCGCCGGGCTCTCCCACACTCCCCCGCCCCGACTGAGAGAGCATGGAGCGGGGATCAGTCCTGCTGGCAGCCCGGGGGTCCCTCTGCAGCTCCCGGCAGATGCACACATCCCGTATGCACGCGTCCCGCCATGCTGGGTGTCCCCAGGAGCAGAGTCCCTGGACTAGCGGCCCAAGGCTGGGGGTCCCCATTGCCCCGGGGGCACACCCCGCATTGCCTGCCCGGGCCAGCCGTGCGGGACAGCAGGTGCTGCACCAATAACCGCCGCGTTTTTCTGTCGTTCTTTTTCCTGCAATCCCCCAATTATTTCGGCAATTAATAAGTCTCTATTATCAATACATATATTTCCCCTTACAATGCCTTCCCTCCTGCCTTCGGCGGGGAAACGGGGCTGTTTCCAGGTGCTTTCTGAAAAGCGGCTCAACAGGAGCTTGTGGATGGCACAAGTCCCTGAGAGGAAATCCGCCCCCCAAGCCCCCCAGGTTCAGCATCCCCCAGCCGCCTCCCCTCCTACCCCGCGGGGCTCTCCCCGCCGAGCCCCCCAAGCCCGCCCGGGCAGCGTGCGGCCGGGAGGGGCCGCTCCCGGTCACACCCTCGCCACCTCGGCGGCAGGAGATGCTGCGCGCTCTGTCAGCGCTGCCTCCGGGCTGCAGCAGGTCGGAAATTTCCCATCTGAGCTCATTTGAAATCTTTCCACCTCTCCCACCTGCGGTTTGGGAACTTCAGGAGGTGAGATCGCCTTTTCTGGCCCAGTAGGGACGCGACACGTGCGACAGGTGACGGCGCTGGGGATGGGTCCGGGACTGCAGGTGCCGCACAGGGAACCGCGGGGCCGGCGGAGCTCCGGCACTACAAAAGCCGATTTACACCCGCGGCTCCCGCACTCCCGGCTCCACGCGGAACATCCCGGCTCCACGCGTCCCCGGGGAGCCGTGGCAGGGACCGGCTGCTGTTGGCAACAGGGACGCTACGTCCTGCCAGCCCCTGCGCCGGTTCTGACGGCAGGCAGCAGTCGTGCCTCAGTTTCCCTGCCCTTCCTCAGTACGGCAGCCACCTCCCACATCGGGCAGCCACCACTGTCTCCTGGCCCAGCAGGAGGAAAAGGAAGAAAGAGGCTGTGCTTCCTCTGCTCCCTATTTTGGGCTGACGTCTGTGCTCCTTTAGCCCAGGTGGAAGTGGATAGGACGTCTGCCTCAACCCCAGCACCTGGCCGGGCTGGGCTGGGCTGCTGGGGATGCTGCTTTCTGTGGGGACAGCTGCAGAGGCCACACACTTGTTCCCTGCAGGACCCCTGTCCCTTTGGCTATATCCTCCTCCCTCCCTGATGAGTCCAGACAGGCTTTGTCAGTTCTCCAATTAATGCAATTAGAAAACTCTCCGGGCCAATGCTTGCAGAGGTGCTTGGAGCACCACTTCCAGTTCCACTGCCTGCTTGGGGGCAGGTTGAGCTGAGGAGTTCAGGGAGATGCTGTCCCTGTCCTGGGGCTGTGGGACAAGCCCAGGCCAGGAGCAGGCAGAGCCCAGCTGGATTGTTTGGGCTGCGGGATGCATGCACAAGGCAGAAAAGCATCAGGCTCCACTCAAACAGGCACTCCGGGACCCTTCTGTCCCACCCCACTGCTCCCAGACTGGGATCCTGGATGCTTTCCCCTGTTCTCCAACCCATCCCTGGCCCTGGCAGCTCTGCTCCAAGAGCAGCCCCGTGGCCAAGAGACCACAGAGCCAGGTCTTGGAGTGGGACACTTCCTCCTGAGGATTGGGTGGAGGCAGGTGTCCCTGGGCTGAGGGTGCTCTGGCTTGCGGGTTCCAGCCGGAGAGCAGCAAATCCCGCAGACCCCAGTCCCTCCAGCCTTCCTCCCGCTGAAGGACCACCCCGATGCCCCTCTACCCCTTGGTGACCCCCGGGCAGGTGCACCCCGACCTAGGGGCGTCTCCTGCTCCTCCTGCCGTGGCTGGGGTCGGCTGCGCCCCCGGAGGAGGGGGAGCCCCGCCTTTCCGTGGGCCCCACAGCTCTGGCCCCTCCTTCAAGCAGCCAGAGGCCGGGCCGGCGCGGAGGCGGGGGGGAGGCACCGCCCCAGCCCGTCCGCCATCGCCCTTTTAAGGAAGGGGACATTCTTCACATAAACAAGCGCGGCCCCCGGGAGCGGGGGGGGTCCCTTCCCGGAGTGGGGGGCACGGGCTGGGGGGGTGTCCGGCCCCTAAATTCCCACCTCTGGCAGCCGGCCGGGGCGGGTCGGGAAGGGGGATTTTGGGGTGGTGGGTCCTGGGGAGAGGGGGAGCCTTGAAACAGCCAGGGAGCGTCTCGCAAGTGCGGGCCGCGGCGGGGCCGAAGCGCGCCGGGACCCCCCCGCCCGCGCTGCGGGACCGGGGAGGGCCCGAGCGGCTTCGCATCCGCATCCGGCGGTACCGGCAGGCGGGAAACGGGGCATCCGGGGCGGAGAGGGCACCGAGGGGCACCCGCCGCCCGCTCCCCCCGGGGGAATGCAAAAAGCTGGCGCCGAGCCCCCCGCGCCGCCACGGCCACGCGTTAGCAGCCGCGGCCAGCGCCCCGCCCCGGGCAGAGGGGCCGCCCCGGGGAGCGCCGCGCCCGGGGGTCCCCGCCCCACCGCGGGGCCGCGCAGCAGCAGCAGCAGCCAGGCCGAGGCCGGGTTACAAACACGCCGTTTATCACCGCCCCTCCCCCCAGGTTGCGGAGCCCCCCGTGGGGATGGGGCCGGGGCCGGTTGGCGGTGCCCGGCGGTAATTAGCGGTGCCCAGCGGTGATTAGCCGTCCCGGGGGCCGGCGGTTCCTGGCAGTAATGAGCAGGGGAAGTCTCCGACGCGGCTCGTTCACTGAAGCGTCTGTGCCAATGGATGGGAAATCTGCCGCTGCTATCCCACTCCCCTCGCATCCAGCCTGGACCAGCACCCCGCAGTTGGCGGGGGTTGGGGGTGGGAAGAAGCGCTGAGCGCTGAGATCGTGGGGGGAGGTCTGCCTGTCTGTTAACCCTTCCCTTGCTGGGTGCATCCCTGGCTAAAACATGCCCGGACTCGGAGTGGCAGCAAATCCGTGTCCAGGAGGCCGCGCTGGGCAGGGACGTGGGGATGACAAGCAGGGATGGGATCTGTCACCGTGTCTCTGTCGGGTCGAGGGCGAGACCGAAATTGAACCGGCTGTGGTGGCCCCGGGCCAGGAACCGGGCTCCATGTGCGATGCTGCATGTCCAGATCTGCCGGGACAAAGAGGACAGGTCGATGAGCACCCACCAGGGACACTGTCCCGCCCCTATCCCGCGGTGCCAGCCCTACCAGGTAGGCGACGAAAGCCACGTAGGCAGCCAATAGCAGGCTCAGGGGAATGTGGTACTCCAGCCCGTGCAGTGTTGGCAGAAAGTCCACCACGAAGTAAATGTTGATGGCGCAGACCAGCCCCGTTATGAGGGTCATCAGCACCTTCCCCGGGCTGCGAGCAGGGCAGTGGGCATCAGTGCCAGGGCAGGGCCCCCACCCTGTGGGCCATTGGGCACAGAGGGCTGGGGGAACTGAGTTTGTATGTGAACCAGACCCCAGCTGGGACATCTCTGCACCCCACAGCTATATTTCACCCTGTGGTGGGGCTCTAGGTGTGGATTTTGGCCTCCTTCCAAATCCAGGGCTGGCAGTCCCAGGAGGATGCTGAGGGTCCAGGGGTGCCCAAGGAACCAGATGTGTCATTGGGAGGAGGATGACAAGGGTAGTGATGGGGTCTGTTGCGCTCTGGCTGCCCTGGGCAGGTGGGAATGAACATACCCCTCCAGTGTCCATACACTAATTCCCCATGGCATGGTTTGGGGGGGCAGGATGGGCCAAAGGGAAGGTGCCTGCAGCCAGGGCTCCCCACTCTTCCTCCTGTGTGCCTCCCCATGCCCTATCACTCACAGGCTGTTGCTGAAATCCTGCATGAGCGGCTGCAGGCTGGTGAAGGTGAGGACAGGCAGGACGGCAAAAGGCAGCTGAAAGGAGAGCGGGATGAGGATGGCATGGCTGCCAGGCTGGGGTGTTTGGGGCAGGTGATGTCCTCCCACCCCCTTACCAGGATGCTCTGCAGGACGTTGAGCAGGTCATTCATGCCTGTGAGGTGGCTGACATCCTTGAAAGCGGCCACCAGGACAGTGGGCAGGATGGCAAAGGAGCGGGTGAAGAGCACCCGGGTGAAGCCGGACCAGCGGAGCTGCAGGAAGCCCTGGAACACGGCAGAGCCTGCACCCTCGCTGTGCCTGCGGCACCGTGTCAGGGCGACCCCCAAAAGCCTGGCTGGGGGAACATGGGGGGCATCTCCCCCTCCTTTGTGCCAGGGCACTGAGCGGGCTCTTGCAGGGCTGCCGGGCCCCACTAGGTGTCAGCTCCGACTCGTTAACAGAGGATCTAATTAATTAGGGAAACACTGCGTGGGGCACACACAGGGTGTAGTGGGTGGGCACTGTCTCCAACCCACCTCCTGGGGAACAGGGACACTGGTGCTAGCAAGCTGCCACCCACCAGCTCCCTGCAGGAATGGCGGGCAATTAACTCTTCCAAATGCTCCTGGGGGGAGTGTGCTGCCCATAGAACCCCTCCACCCAGGGCCTACCTGGGATTTCCCTGCTCTCAGCCCCTCCCTGTGGGGGCAAGGGCCAGCATCCCCATCTCTCACCTCCATGACGAACTGCCCTGCGTAAGTCCCGGTCATTGTGGAGCTCTGTCCTGCTGCCAGGATCCCGATGCCCCAGATGTACAGTGCCACTGCCCCGAAATAGCAGCCCAGGATGACACCCTGTGTAGGGACACTCCAGTGAGCACCCTAAAGTGCCCCCTACCCCAGGCATTCCCATCAGCTCCCAGATTTCTTGTGGTGTTATAAGGGCCCCCAGCCCCAGGGGTGGATGGGGAGAGTGATGTATCCCCAAAATGGGAATGGATGCTCACTGGACACAGCCTGGTGGCACTCACCCCCTGGTAGATATCCACAGAGACTGTCTCGTTGTTGGTGGGGAAGATGCCAGCATAGTGACTGATGCTGCTGTTGGCGCAGTTGTTGTGCTGTAAGGCATGGCAGGCACGAGTGTGACAGCCACCCAGCAGCTCCCCCAGGCACAGGGGATCCCCACACATCCCCTCTCAGGGAATGAGAACGTGCAGTTCCCAGGGGATGCTCGTCCCACCCACGTCCACAGCTGGGCACAGCCGTCACCTCCCTGTGGCCGTGAGGTGACACTCACCACATCCTCATTGCTCTGGTGGTAGAAAGCCTCGCCAAAGACAGCCATGACGAAGAGGTTGATGAGGAAGGAGACAAAGAGGGCCAGGCAGGACTCGGTCAGGAAATACATATTGGCCTCCTGCACTGCCTCCTTCTTGGACCGGTCGATCGCCCGTGTCTGGGCATGGCCAGTGACATGGGTGTCACGGGGTCATGTGAGCACCCCTGTCCCACAGCCAGGACCATGTTGTCCCCACCAAGTGTACCCTGAGGCACCCTGGCAGAACAGTGCCCATGGCAGTGCCTTGATCTCACCTTGACCAAGGAGGAGTGGAGGAAGATGTTATGGGGCATAATGATGGCGCCGATGATGCCCATGGCCTGCAGCAGCTCCTTTCGCCCGCAGCCCGGGCAGCTGGGCAGGAAAATGCCCTTCAGCACCTCCACCTGCCTTGGCCTCACCACCACGTACTGGGAAGCAGTGAGAAGGGGCACTGTGAGCTGCCACCCCCCAGCACAGGCTGGTAGCAGTGGGGACACCGCTTGGCAGGGTCCCTTGCCAGCCTTGCAGGAAAAGGGTTGTCCCCAGCTCCCCATTCACCTCGTAGCCAAAGGTCAGGGCCATGATGGTGATGAGGAGGCCGAAGAAAGCCTCCAGCTTGCGGAGCCCTAGAGAGGTCAGGAGATGGGGTGGAACAGAGCAGGGGACAGTGGTGCCACGTGGGTGACAGTGCCCCCAGCCCTCATCCTGGCACTCACCGTACTTGTCAAGGAAGAGGAAGAAGAGGGTGTCCACGATGGTGATAAGGACCCCACCCCAGAGGGGGATGCTGCAGGATGGCCAGGGGCAGGATTAGATACATGACCCTCTGTGGAGCAGGGCCGTGGGGGAGGCTGGGGGTGCCCGTGGGGAGGCTCACCGGCCAGCTGAGAGCAGGCTGAAAGCAATGGCTGTCCCGATCACCTCCTGCATGTCGGAGCCGATGATGGCGATCTCAATCATGAGCCAGAGCAGCACGCGGGGCACCTGCAGGGCACAGGGCACCATGAGATGGCACATAGCTCTGGGCAAGCTAGCACAGCATCCTGGGTGCAAATCCCTGTGTCCAGGCTGTAGCAGGCCACCTAGAGCAGCCTGGGGACCCTGGAAGACCCCTCGAAGCTTCTTTCACAACACAATCTCAGGATGAAAGATGGATGCTAAATCCAAGCCTGTTCCCCCCCACTCCTCATCCCTGCCCCAGTGAGAGCTGAGGATAAGACCCGTCTGTCTAGATGGGGGGGTTTGAGGGAGGTGGGGCAGAGGGATGCATCCAACACTCCTTTTGGGGACCAGTCATTCAGCCAGCATCTCCTTGTTGTTCCCCCCATCAGGGTCTTGACGCTTAGATGGGTCTCCTAACTCCCCCCTCCTCTGTCATATGATCCCTCCTCTCGATCCCTTTCTGCCCCAACATGCACAGGCTTTCCAGCATCTCGGCTTCGCGTTGCTGCCCCGACGCCTGGGCTCACTCCCGCGGGGGACGCTCTCGTGTGTCCCCAGGTCACACCGGGACACTGAAGCAGCTGCTTACCGCCTATCACCCTGGGCCCCTGTACTGCAGGGGTGTGGGCACTAGGTGGGGGTCACCCGGGCTTGGGGGGCTTCGGGGACCCCCTGAGAGAGGCAGGTGTCTCACAGCATCTTCCTGCTCCTCTCCAGCCCCGCAAGGCCCTGCTAGGACTGTCACCAGCACAGGGTCCCAGACTGTCACCCGCTGGGCCCCCCCGTGGTTGCTCACCTTGGGGTAATAGAGGTAGCAAATCTCGCCCAGGTCCTTCCCGGTCACCACGCCTAGACGGATGGCGAGGCGCTGGCACAGCAGCCCCAGGACGGTGGCCCACAGCAGCACCCACAGCAGCTGGGGGGCAGGAGGGAGGGAGGCAGCAGCAATGGGTACTGGGCAGCATCCAGCCGCCCGGGGGTCCCCAGTTCAACCAGGGTTGCAGGGAAGAGAGGGGGTGCAGGTGCTCTCCCAGCCCGGTCAGAGGGGTGCCCCCCTGGCACCCCTGGGTGTCCTTACCCTGTGCCGAGGGCCCCCGTGCCCCTCCTGCTCCCGGGCTGGGAAGGCAGCTGCCAAGGGCAGCCGTTGGCGCTGGAGAGGTTACGAAACCCCCGCCTGCTTCCTGAGCCGGCGCCGGGCTCACCTTGAATCCCGCCAGTGCCCCGCTCTGCAGGTCGGACTCCACGTTGCCTGGGTCCAAGTAGGCGATGCTCATGAGGAAGCCGGGACCGGTGAAAGCCCAGAGTTTCCTAAAGCTGAATCCGGGCTGGGACAAGGCAGCAGGTCAGAGCCAGAGCTCCGTTCAAAACCGGTGTCTCCTGAGTGCACATCCAGCCCCCTTTAGCCCGGTGTTGTCCGCGTGGATATGTTTAGCACACGGAGATAATTTTCCTGACAGTTTTGGAGAGAGAACTGCTGTCCCCAGCCTCTCCCTGTTAGCACCAGTGCTGGAGGGGCAGTGAGCCCCATCTGACCCATTGGACAGTGATTTGCAGGGGGTCCCAGGGCTGTCAGGCACTATTAATTGCATCCCATGGGATTTCACTGCTGTCCTCTGCTTTTGCTACTCCTCCCGACTAGGGAGTACTATTCCTTCCTCTTCTCTGTTCCACTGCCCCGAGACCAGACAAGGATGGGGGGGGCTGGTGGGGTGCAGGCAGCCTTGGGGAGCCCCGCTGGGCTCATCCATGGGTGGCCCAGGAGGTGGTGTGTGAGCAGTGGGGTGATCCTTGGCTGGGTAGCACCTTGCCCCATTGTCTCAGTTTCTCCATCTGGAAAACTTTAAGCATGGAAACACTCCACCTAGGGCTGTAACTTGCCTGAGCTGGGTCTGGGGAGCTGGGGGCATGTCCCCAGGACATGACCAAGACACATGTTCCCCACTGCAGTGGCCCTTTGCCTCCCCACCTCCAGCTCCCTGCAGCACTGTCCCACTCCCCCGCCCTCCCTGAGAGAGCCTTGCAGCACCTACCCCACTGCCCTTGGGGATGCTGATGAGCTCTTCCAGGTAGGTCTGGTCCTGAGTTCCAGGGCGCTGTGGGGGCATGGGGCCCCCATTCAGGGACCTGGTGAGGCCTGAGGGGGACAAGGAAGAGGAAGGGAGGTGGCAGCCTGCCAGGGGGACAAGGACACTGGTGGGCTGGCAGTCCTGGTACCAGCTTCCTGCAGTCCCACCTGACACTGCCTGATGAACCCCATCAGGGAAAAGCACCAGTTTTCCAGGGGGGGCATGAGGATGGCTATATGGGATCTATCAAAAGCTACCCAAAAGGATCAGATGCCACCTCCAGCTTAGGTGTCCCTAAAACCCCTGGACTGAGCCCCGTCTTCAGCAGTCCAAGAGCCAAGTGCATTTCTGGGCAGCAGGGACAGGAGGAAACCCTGCCCCAGCTCCTGCTGCTGGATGGGCATAGACTGAGGACAAGCTGGCATGGGTCCTAGTCCCCCCTTTGCAGCCCACCTACATCCTGGGAATTTCTTGAATCACATTCCCAGGCTCGAGGATGGGACAGATGGGGAATCCAGGACAGGCTGGGGGGGATGGTGCCCACTGAAAGATGGAGCACAGCCAGGGGTCCCAGGGTGGAGGGAAGGGGGTCTAGGGGATGAAAGGAGGCGCAAGGAGACCCAAGAAGTGTTGTGAGGCTCACCTGGTTCCAGTGATGCCATGGGTGGACCCGATCCAGCCACAGTGCCGGGGCTTCCTGAATTCAGCTCTGAGTGCAGTGCCCGCTGCCCAGCTTTTAAAGGACCCCCCCGCAGTTGTGTCATCCCCTCCTCAGGAGGAGAGGAGGAGGGTAGGAGAAGGAAGTGCTCCTTCCCTACCCTTATGAGCACACACAGTCTCGGTTCCCCCGCTCCTGCAGTGCCAGGAGGCCCCTTCCCTCCCCTTTGTCCCACACACGTGCGAACATGAGGCACCCTCACCGGGCCGTGGGAGCGTGTCTGCGTGTCACTCCCCATCACATGCCAAAGGTTCTGCTTGGGTGACTGTGGGGACAGGGGACAGTGTCCCACAGAGCGAGAAGGGAGGGCTGGCCCCACGGGAGTAGGGGAAATGCCATAGAAGTGGGAGCAAGGAGGAAGCAGGCACGTGTTGCATAAGGAGGTCAAAATGCAGCCTTAGCTGCTGGGGGAAGCACCCAGCCAGGCAGGCTCTGTGGCACAGGGTGCTCTCATCACCCTCGCTGCAGGGACCTTCACCCCAAGCATGGCGTGCCAGTGTTGCAGTGTCAAGCTGTGCCAACAAAAGTGGGTACCCTTCTGCCAGCCGGGCTGTGTCCCACAGGGAGATGGGCAAGGGATGTCCCCCAGGAACACGTGGGGTGGTGGCAGGCGCAGGGATGTGAGCCTGGCCCTGCTCCACAGTATGCCCCAGGCACCCCCACCCCCTAAGCAAGGGCTGGAACAGCTGGGACAGGGACAGGGTCCCACCCAGAAGGCATGATGGGGCTTCAGCACACAGCCCAGCTCCACCTGCCCTCCCTGAGCCTCAGTTTCCCCAAAGCAAACAAGACTGGACAGGCAGTGCTGGCTGCTTTATTTGCTGTTAGCTGGAGGGTGGCCAGCGGGGGAGTTGGGGAGGGGGCTGGCGGCCCCAGTGGAGGCAAAGGGGGTCCCAATGGGCCGCTGGTGGGCGAAGAATTCCGCAGCAAAGGAGATGGTGTCGTGTGGCTGCTGGAGGAGCAATGCCTGGAGGAAGTCAGACAGCAGTGCCCGGACCTCAGGGTGCTGCTGGAGGTAGGCAGCATGGGATAGTTGCAGCTCATCCTGCAGTGGGGTGGAAAGGATGGGTGGGGTGGGCGTGAACACACATTTCCCCCCTGGGCACTGTGCCAGGGTGAGGGGGACAGGAGCCGGGGTCCTTTCCCACACTTAAGAAAGTGTGAGGAAGGATGTTGGTCAGCCTGCCCCCCAATGTGCCTCCTGGACACACGAGGGGAGACCCTGCTGGAGACTGGCACAGCCCCATGTCCCTTGTCCCCATGTCCACCCATCTTACCTTCCTGTCCAGGAAATAGGAGTAGAGCTCCTTGTCCTCCTCCCAGTCCAGGGGCTCTTTGGGGAAGGGGAGCTGGGGCTCAAACCTACCTGGCAGCAGAAAGGCAGGGCAGGGTGTTCCCCGTGGTGTTCCAGACAGCGGGCAGGGGCTGCCTGTGCTGGGGGGGCACGAGCCTCCCCTGCTCAGTACCTGACTTGCTGAGGACGGACTCATCCTGTAGAAGCATCAGCACGGGGGAGCCAATCTGCACCAGCTGAGCCAGACGCCTGAGAGGGGAAGAAGAGCCCTTGGCCTTCCCATGCTGGGTCCCTCTGGAGTGGCAGGGCTGGGTGCCTCTGGCCCTTACCCGTTGGGCAGGAAGCTGCTGTGCCACAGTGTGGGGGCACCTGTGCTGGCGTGCAGGGCTCGCTGGATCACGAACACCTCTGTCTCTGCCGAGCCCACCGCCTGCCGCTGGATGCCCAGGGCACGCTGGGGCGGTACAGCCAGGGCTCAGCCTTGTCTCAGAGTCACCCCTGCCCCCACTGCCATCCCCACGTGTCCCGCCATGCTGTCAGCCCCTCTGCCCACTCCCACTTCCCACATCCCACCCCGGTATCCCCAGCCCCACCCACGGGCTCTCCTGGCAGGCGCTCACATAGCGGGAGGTGCAGAGGTTGCCCTCGCTGTTGATGGCTGGGAAGACAAGGTCGGGGGGCACTGTCTGCCGGCGTGCCAGCACCCGCAGCAGCAGCAGGCTGGCCCCCTCCAGCAGCCGCGCCCGCAGCTCGGCCCGCCTGTACGAGAAGCTGTGGCACTGTGGCTCTGCCTGCAGAGAGACCTGGCACCTCATGGGACAGCCACAGCTCCAGCGTCCCCAGGGACAGCAACCCCCGGAGCCTGGGCACCCCTGGTGAGAGCTGTGCTGCCCCTGCCAGGGTGTGACCCTGCTCTCAACCTCACCTCTCCCTCCTGCAGGGTCTTCGTGACCGTCATCCCGTGCTCGTGGCTCACGATGTGGGTTGTCTTCTCGGTGGGGTGTGGTCTGAGCTGCGGGAGGGGTGGGAGGCACGGGGTGGAGGGTAGAGCCAGGGCACCCTCCTCTGAGGTGGCACCCCCAGCACCGCTGCCAGTCGGGGTACCATTCCAGATGCATTGTGGGAAACTCCCCACCCCAGCTGCCACCCAGAGGAGGGGATGGGGACCAGGCTGGTGGGACAGAGCTGGAGTCTGAGCATGACAAGGGACACCAGACTACCCACAGCAGCCTTGCAGGGGACAGCCCCCAGGAGGGCACCACTGCAGGGCACAGCCCAGGGCAGCGGGTAGGACACAGGGAAGAGGACATGCCACCACCATATCAGTCACCTCCAGGCACTCCTGCTCCTCCTGCTCCAGCGTCTCCAGCTGCCAGGTCACATAGGCTGGCAGAGCAAAGCCATGCTCAACCAATCCTGTTGGCACTGTCCCCATTCCCAGCCCTGGGGGCTGGTGGACAGGGATGTTCCAGCCCTGGGGAAGAAGGAACCCCCCCAAAAGCCACCCTGGCTCACCTTTGAGGGTGCTGGAGGCAGGCACACCGTCCTGCTTTCCTTGGAACCTGGTCTGCACCAGGATGCAGCTCTGCACCGGCTCACCTTCCCGGTGGTAGGGTGCCCACTGGGCTGCCATCCACCACTGGCCCTCTGCCTTGTGCCTTGGTGGGGCCCCCACGGCCACCACTGCCAGCGTCTCAGCAAACAGGCACCACTCCAGCTCCTTCAGCGCTGCACAGAGGGATGGTGACCCCAACACAGAGGGACAGTGACCGCGAGGAGATGGTCACTCTGGTCACTCCCTCCCGAAGTGACTGTCGCCCCTGCCCAGTGCCCCTCCCTGTCTCCATCCCCCCCGCAGGCTGGGCCTGGCCCCTCGCCATTTAACCCTCTCAATCCCTCACTCTCCGGCCCGGTGCCCCCCACCTCGCAGCGGGCACGGTGTGGCAGGACGGGGGGAGGCTGGAGGAGGAGGAGGCACGCACCGATGAGGCTCAGGAACTCGGCAGCAGCGTCCGCCATGCTCGCGGTGTTCTGCGCGCTCCGGGGAGGGGGCTCCATGCCTCGCCTGGGGGCTCCTGCTGCCGGACCCTGGGGTGAGGGGGCGGCGGGGCTCCCCCGAACCGCGGTCCCCGCCCCACGCGTGACCCGGGGGGGCAGGGACACCCCCCGGCCTCTGCAGCCCCCAGCCCCCCGGCCTCCCCCCGGGCCCCGCCGTGCCGGACCCGGCCCGGTGCCCCGACGCCTCCCGTCTCCCGGCAACGCCCTGGCCCCGCCTCTTAAAGGGGCCGCGCCCCGCCGGCGAGAGAGAAAGGGACGAACAGGTGTAAAATCGATCCAGTCTTTTATTTGGGGCGTGGGGGTGATTGTGGCTCCGATGCCCAGTGAAGCAGCACCCCCCACACCCCAGCAGTGCGACCCTATGGCCCCGTCCCAGTGTGTGTGTGTGTGTGTGTGCGTGCGTGCGTGTGCGTGTACGTACAGGGGGGCTCCGGCGTCAAGGATGGGGTGCTGCAGAGGAGCCCCTTGCCTGGAGGTAGTACTGCCGGCCCGCCTCCCCTTGCTGGCTCCATCCCAGCCCCCACAAAGGAGATGCACAACACTGGGGCTTAAGGGGAGGGGGCTGAGTGGTGGTGGTGGTGGAGGGGAAATTGGAGACTCCCAGAAAAACGGGGGAGTGGGGAGTGGAGGGGGGTTGTAGGAGAAGCCCTTGGTGCCATTCCTATATCCCCAGCAGTGAGGTGGGGGGCTACAGACCCCCCAAGAGGGGATTGAGGTGCTGCTACGTGACAGCTGGTGACCCCCAAGTTCGAGGGAGCAAAAGCAAGGATCACTTATGGGGTGGCCACTTAAGGGGGTGTCCACTCTTCCCCCTCCCCCTACCCTGCACCCCAGGAGGGAGATTCACAGCAAAACAAACCACACAGTCTTGGGCTCAACCATCACCCGGCCCCATGGAAAGGGGGGACCCGGGCAGTGGGGGAGATCTAGGTGGCCTGGTAGAGGTCCTTGCGCCTCCGCACCTCCTTGAGGACACGGGCACGAAAGGCATCAGGGTCCTCCCCCCCGTCCTGCCACAGTCCCAGTGCCTCCTGCAGCTCCGGCCGGTGTGTCCGCAGGAAGGGGTTGTAGGTCTGCTCTTCCCCCAGCGTGGAGGGGCACTGTGGGGGCAGCTGCTCAGCTCCCCTGCTGGAGGCAGCACCCCAGCAGGGAGCTGGGAATGCCCTCAGAGCCCCCTGCCCCTATGGCACCCACCGTGCAAGAGGGTGTTGGGGTGCAGCATCCCTGCCAAGGGAAGCCCGTGAGGGGTTGGGGTGATGGGTGCTGCACGCAGGGACCCCCATGCCTCACCGTGCTCCTCTTCTCCTGGCGCTGCTGCACTGCCCACTGCAGCTTCTCCTCCAGCGCGGAATTGTCCAGCTCCAGGAGGGTGGCGAAGGTCAGGCACTCCAGTGCGTATTCGTGGCCTGTGGACCCCCACGTGCAGCCCTTAGCATCACCCCCACCCAGCTCTCCCCCTTGGCAGTGGGACTAGGGGGACACCAGCAGCTCTGCCCTGCTGCTGGGGACACTCACCTGGCCAAAGCAGCGTGTCCTCACCCAAGCCCATGGCCAGGTCCAGGGAGGCGAGCATGGTCTCAGGGGAGCCCTCAAACGGCCTGCCTAGACCCCCACACAACTGCCTGTCATGCTTGGGGGGTACCCCTAAGCCCATCCCAGGATGGGATAACCCCCCAAGCCCCTGTCTGGGGTTGGGTGCACTCACCACAGCCAGCAAGGAAGAGGAGGTCCCCGGAGAAGAGGCAGGGGGGGCTGCCGAAGGGGCCCCCGTCCAGCACATAGACCATGTGGCCCACGGTGTGGCCAGGCGTGGCGAGCGCCTCGAAGGTCAGGCAGCCCACGGTCACCTTCTCCCTGTCTGCAAGCGGGCTGTGCCGGGAACAGGGGCACCGTCAGGGTGCTCCCCCAGCCCCAGCACCTCAAAATACGCCCCTCCCATGGCAACCCTTCTGGCACACTGGTGTCAGGAGCATGCCAGGTCTCTGCCCAGCATGGAACTGGTGGCTGAGTGCTGCAGACAGCGGTGGTTGGGAATGAAGCTCTCTCCAAATTTACAGGGGTGCTAGGGGGGTGCAGGACTTACTTGGTGAGCCGTGGGATGGCATCGAGAGCGCTGCCATACACCCTGCAGGAGCTGTGCTTCTGGCAGAGAGCCTCGTTCCCTCCGCTGTGGTCCCTGCAGACAGGGAGGTCAGAGACCCTAAATGTACCCCCCCATACTCCCCCCACTAAATGGGGCAGGGCTGGGGGTCACCTCAGGTGGGGCTGTCTTCACAGCAGCTACCAACCCTTCCAGGGCCACCTCTTGCCCCTCACCAGTGTTTGTGTGTGCAGAATATGGCCTCCAGCATCACCCCCTCTTCTTCGATGGCAGCCTGGGGAGGAAATATGGACAGAGAGATTAGGGGGGACAGGACCAGCTTTCCCTTCAACCCTGTCTCCCCCAGCTCCCCTGTCATGCTCCAGTCTTGCCTTGGGCACTAAGGGCTGCATATTAGGTGCATATTTGCTCCCCTCTAAGGCCAAAATACAGAGACGTGCCACCCCCTCACCTGGAGACAGGCAAACACCAGGTCAGAGTGGTTGTGGGGGTCTCACCTGTACAGCCAGCGGGTCAGAGGGGTCGATGACAGCCGCTTGGCTGGAGCCAGTGTCGATGACCAGGTAGCTGTAGTTGTTGGAGAGTACGGGAATGGGCAGGATTTTCACCCCTGTGGGGGGAAGAGACAGAATCAGGGCATGATCCCCCCAGCTGGAAAAGGGGGAGTCCAGACCAAACTCCCCACATCTTACATCAGATCCTTCATTAAACATGCTTTGGGCAATTCGGTGATGGCAACCCCCTCCCCAGCCCACAGTGCCAGTGCTGGGGGGCACTGCAGGGCCGAGGTGTGCGAGGGGCTCAGCACTCACCAGGGAAGCAGTAGGGCTGGGGCACGGAGTGGCCGTGCGGGTACCGCTCCCGGGCCTTCTTCACCTGCCGCTGGTAGAAGAGGTATCCCAGGCGTGTGCGGGCGTACAGGCTGTACCTAGGGAGGGCAGACACCCCTAGGCATTAAATCCCACTTCCCCTAAGGAGCCCACTTGGGAAGGGGGCTACTGCTGGGGCTGTGACTCTCACAGGGAACATATACAGGGCCACTTCTCATTCGGGGGCACTACAGGAGGTGTGTGTGTACCCCACAACCCAGGTGTGTAGTGAGGGCAGGAGTGATTCCCCGAGCAGGCATCCTCCAGCTCCTTCGAGCAGCAAGGACTGGGGGGGGCATTGCTGCGGGGTGCTCACCGGGAGGGGCTGGAGCTGGCTGTTCCTCCCATGCTCTGATGGGGGGACATGCCCAAGCTTGCTATGGTCCGGGGAATCAGAAAAGAGAATGGGCCGAGGAAAAGGGAGGCAAGAAATGGCCCCGTGTATGTGAGGGTGCAAAGGCTGCGGGGCTCGGAGGGTCCTCCCCGTTTGCACAGCAGCAATTTGGGACGGGACGGGGAATGGTGCAATGAGGGACATGTAAAGACCCGGGTTGCAAAGCCCATTCCCGGCCGAGGGCACCCCTGGACGGCACACCGGGAGCGATCCCTGCAGCAGCGGTGGGAGCCCGAAACCGTGGAACAGGGGCTCCTGCCAGCACCGGGCAGCGTGACCACGGCCGGGGCACCGGGGCAGGTCAGCGGTGACACCCGAGAGAAGGCGCCCCGGCACGGGTGACCGGCTCGGCGCGGGGAGGGCCGGTGGCTGATCCCCGGCCCCGGCGGCCGGGCTGGCACCGCCCGCCCCCGCTCCCCCGCCCGGAGCGCGCTGAGCCCCAGCCCGGTCTCTCCGTGCCGCCGCGGCCGCAGGTTCCTCCCCGGGCGGCTCCGCACGAGCAGGGGAGGGTGCTGCTGGGCCCTCCCTCCCGGCGGCAGCACAAAGGCGGGCGGTGGCGGCTGCCTCGCTGCGGGGGTCCCGCAGCGGCGACCGCTCCCTCTTCGGCTCGCTCGCTCACTCACCCCAGGCGGAACAGCAGCGGGGCGGCGAAGGCCATGAGCGCGGCGGCGGCGCGGCGGAGAAGGCGCAGGCAGGCGGCCCCGAGCCCGCGCACCCCGGCCGCCGCCGCCGCGGCCCCGCCGCCGCCGCACCGGGAGCGGGGAGGGGGGGGGAACACATGCTCGCGTCACCCGCCGAGAGGAGGGGATTCCCCCCCGCCGCCGCGAGGGGTGTCCCCCCTGACGTCACTGCTTGAAAAAGGGGGTCCCTGAGTGACGTCAGAGCCGGCGGGAAGGAAGTCCCGGGGGGACGGGCGAGGGCCAGCGGGGTCCGTCCCCGGGAGCAACAGGCGGGAGAGCGCCCCGCCGCCGGTCCCGGCCGTCGCGGGTGCAGGGCGCGGAGCCGCCGCGGGGGGGCGCGGTGGGCGGTGGCTGCCCCCGCCCCGTCCGACCCGTCCCGGCCCGTCCCGTCCGGTGGCGGCCGCAGCCGGCGGAGCAGCGCGCAGCAGGTAGGCTGGCCCGCCCCGCTCCGCGTCCCCCGCCGCTCCCAGGTCCCGCCTGCGGCCCCCGGCGGTCCCCCTCGTTCTCTCGACTCCCCTCCGCCCGCTTCGTCCCCCCACCCCCCTGGCCCTGCGCCCTCCGGTGCCACAGCCGGCGAGGGGCTGTCCCAGCGCTCGCCGGAGCGTCCCGGAGGCCGACGGGGACTGGACGGGGGTGGGCGGCCGGTCGCTAAACAGCGGGGACGCGCTGCGACACCCCGCTCCCCCGTCCCCGGAGTGGTGGGGGCACGTCGGGTTGAGGTGCGGCGGCGGGAGGAGGGGGACGGAGCGCGGTCCCGCGAGGAGGGACGCGGGGGGACGGGACCCCTACGCCGGGGTCCCTCTGTAGCACCGGTGCTGTTTTCCGAACCCCACGCGATGGCGTGGCAGGGAATCGGGGAGTAGTGCGGGGAGGTTCGTGGGAGGGCGGCGACACTTGTACTGTGGAGGGTGTCCTCACGGACCCCGTGGGGTGTCTCGGGAGGGGTGGGCACGGGCCTGTGCCCGGCAGGGTGTGGGGGTGACACCATGGGGATGCGTGGGGACCAGCACTGGATAGTGTGGGGGTGCCGGGGCTGAGGCACAGGAGGACTCCTCTGTCCCATGTCTGTGTCCCCGGAGAGAGCTTGCAGAGGGGCAGGGATGTGGGAGAAGTGATGCTGAACCCCAGCAAATTTGTGTTGTGTGTGAGTGGTGAGGGCCAGCAGGGACATCCAGCCTGGGTGGGCCGTACTGACCCTCGTGTCAGCTGAGCAGGACCGGCCTGGGCTGGGCCGGGCCGGGCCAAGTTGTGCTGTGCTGTGTTGGACTGTGCTGTACTGAGCCGTGCTGTGCTGCAAGAGGCAGCTGTGCCCTGTTGTACTGTACCAGGCTGTGCCACTCTGTGCTGTGCCATACTAGGCTGTGTTGTACCAACCCGTGCTCTACTGCTGGCAGCTTCCAAGTTCTTCAAGAGTGAGGTGCTTTCTCAGGCAGCCTGAATGTGGGGAGCTCTGTCCTGTGCCCCAATCCATGATCCCTCCTAAGGTGGCTGTGTTTCCCCCACAACCTGGAGGAGCTGGTGGGAGGGGCCCGAACCAGGCAGGGGTGCCACGCTGGATGGTGGGGACACAACCCTGTGCTACCCGTGAGATTGTGGAAGGGATGATGGTTGGCTGTGCCCCATGTGCCTGCTGTATGTGCCTTATCTGTGCTGAGTCACGCTGCCAGTGCAGAGTAGCACCCTGTCCCCAGGGACCGTGTCATGCCACTGAGCTGGCCCCGGGTTGCCCTCTGCCATCTAACTGGTGACCTCAGTTTCGGGACCATGCAGTGCCATGGACCTAGAAGGGTTCGGCTGCCTGCTTCCTTGGGTGTGGCAGCTGCTGGGACCCGTCAGGCTGGTTCCCTCCCTGTGCCCAAGGCTACCCCAATGCGGTGGAAGCAGGAGGGGCTGGAGCAGTCAAAAGGTGCTGGTCGTGGGCACAGGGTAGGACCCCACTGATCTGGTGCTGGCCAAATACACCCCGCTTTCCCCAGACACCTGGGCTCCCTCCGGGGACTCTGGTCCCCCTGTAACGTGAGTGTCAGTCACAGAGGCTTTCCTAGGGTCAAGGTCCTATTTTGGGCCTTTCCTGGCCCCACAGATGAGGACCAGGGGGTCCCCTGTGCTTTCTGGGAAACCACAGTGTGGAGAAAGTGAACTTCCTGTCCGCATGGCCACTGCCACACCGGTTATTTATTTTGGGCGCTGTCGTCATCACAGTGATGAAGGCCAGTGTGACTGTGAAGGCAGCTCGGCCATGGCTGGCACAGTTGGATGGCAGGAGGGATGGAGGGACAGACACGGAACTGCTCCCTCCAGCCCGGCATGCGTGTGCCCTCGGCATCGCCGCCTGCCCAGCCCGGCTGCGGGAAGCACTGCGTCACACAGGAGGAAGTGCCCAATCCCCTCCTAGCCTGGTCCTGGTTAGGATCAGATCCTGGTTCCTTCCCTGGGATGGTTCCAAGATCACAACACTGCTGCGGGCAGGAGGCTCGTGGGGGATCCTGTCACCTTCCTGGGGTCTGGGGTGCCAGTGCTGAGGGGGTGGGAGGTGGGTAAAGGCCTGACACTCTCTACTGGCAGCGCTGTTGTTTTCCTGGCCTTGAAGATCCTGCTTTCCTTCTCCTCCTCCTGCTGGGACCAAGCCCAGCTGGCCTTGAGCCCGGGCTGCCTGCTCACAGCTGCCGGGGGCTCTGTGAGGGGGCCTGCTGTGGCCGAGGAGGGGAGCTCAGCCCCAGGGGGGGTCCCAATTCTGCTCCCCGAGGAAGGGTCCATCTCCTGTAGAGTTGATGTGGGTGTCACATCCCCTTATAAGGGGACTCAGGAGTTCTGGAGCCCCTGTGTGACACATGCAGCTGTTGCGTATCCCTCCGAAATGGGAGAGGCAGTGGGATCTGCGTGGCTGTGATGAGGATCAGCCCCTGTGTTTCCATCCCAGGCAGCTGGCAGGGTGATGCCATTTGTCGTCGGTGTGGTGCTACCAGGAGCCACAGACCAGCCCGGGGTGCTGCTCCTTCCTCCCTGGCAGTCTCAGGGCGGGCTTTAAGGACCGAGAGGTCAGATCCCTTCTGGAAAGGTCACGTCCTCGACGCAGCTTGAGTCAGCGCGTGGCTGTGCCCTGCCCGCGGCTGACCACTGACGCAGGTCCCGCGGACTCAGGGCACAGGAATGCGGGTGGCCCCAGCCGAGGGGACATCCCTCGCTTGTTATTGACCTGCTGGCACTGAGGCCAACTTCTCCTTACTAATTAGGAGCCGCTATTAAAGTGGGAGGGGGAGGTTTTGTGGCTGCACGATCCCCTCTGTCCCTGCACCTGTGGCTGCACTCACCAGGAACAGGTCCTGCCCGGGGAGGGTCACCTGTGCTGAAGCCCCCCGTCTTCTGTCCCCTGCAGGTGCCCGTGGGAGGTGCAGGGAGCCGGCATGTCGAATCCCAGCGCACCCCCGCTCTACGATGACAAGAACCCCCTCTACCCCCCGCGCCCCGGAGGGTACCCCCAGCCCCCCCACTACGCCGGGGGGTACCCGCAGCCTGGGGGATACCCTGCGGGGGCGGGGTACGGGCAGCCCGGGGGGTATCCAGCGTCAGGGGGGTACCCTCATCCGGGCATGGCCATGCCCAGCATGCCTATGCGGTTTGGTAAGTGGGGCACCTTGGTTTGTCTGGGGGAGGGCGCTAGAAAGAGGGGTGCTGTGAGGGGCTGCACGGCTGACCCTGGTCTGAGGGATGTCCCCCACAGGTGACAGTGGCCTTGGGGATGGCTCTCCCTTCCAATCCGTTGACTGGGACGATAGGAAAGTCCGGCATGCCTTCATCCGCAAGGTGAGTCCCAAGGGGCCAGGGGCACCTGTCAGGGTGGGGGGACAAGTGCTGACCCCCCTGTCTCTTGCAGGTTTATGCCATCATCTCCCTGCAGCTCCTGGTGACAGTGGGAATCATCTCTGTGTTCACCTTTGTGTGAGTAGAAGGTTCCTCCTTACCTTTATCCTGAAAAAGAGGAGCTTGAGTTCCTCGGGGGTGTTCAGAGGGGACAGTAGCTGCTGTCTCCTCTCCCTCACACTTGTCCCTCCTGTCCCACAGCCACCCTGTCCGCTCCTTTGTCCAGAGGAATGTTGCCATCTACTACGCCTCATAGTGAGTAGGGGCTCTGCTGGCTCGCTCCCCCCAGCTCGTGCCCCCATCCACAGCCTCCCAGCCCAGGGGCTGATCCTGGTGGGGGCTGTGGGGCTCACACCTGCTGTCTCTCCTTGCAGTGCTGTGTTCCTGGTGACCTACCTGGTGCTGGCCTGCTGCCAGGGTCCCCGGTGAGTCCCTAGGGCCCCCAGGGTGGGGGGTGTGGGTATGGGGGGTGTCTCCAGAGCATCAAGATAAGTTCCTGCCTGAGGCTGCCCCTGGGTGGTGGGGGCAAGGGGGACATGACATGGTTGTTGTCACTAGCTTACCTCTCTCCTGTTTCGTCCTCAGGAGACGCTTCCCCTGGAATATTATCCTGCTGAGCATCTTTGTGAGTGGGCTGGGACTGGCAAAGGGTCCTGGTGGTGCCCCCATGGCACCCCAGCTCCTGCTGGGTGTGCTGGGAGGGATAGGAGGACATGTGGGCAGTTGGGCAGCCTGCTGAGCTCACCCCTCTCTCCCACAGACGCTGGCCATGGGGCTGATGACAGGCACGATTGCCAGGTACGCCCTGGGGACCCTGCTGTTACAGAATCTGGGGTCCCTCCTGTCCTCCACAATGCAGCCAGCTCAGCTGAGAAGCTGCCAGGAGCCAGGGCATGCTCCAGTCCCTTGGGCTCAGGGACTGCAGAGCTCCTGTCCACGACTGGGGCTGTGGGGGAGGGTCTCCAGCACCCCTCTGGCGGGAGGATACTGAAGTGGGAGGTGACTTTGTTTGTCTGTAGCATGTACGAGACGAAAGCTGTCCTGATTGCCATGCTCATCACCGCCATTGTGGCCATCGTTGTGACCATCTTCTGCTTCCAGACCAAGGCAAGGAGGGGGATGCACCCTGCCCTGCACTCCATGGGCCAGGTGTGGGGAGCAGGTCAGTGGGGACACCCTGGGCTCTCCTGTGACATTTGTGTGTGTCCCCATCAGGTTGATTTTACATCCTGTCCGGGGCTGTTCTGCGTGCTGGGCATCGTGGTCATGGTGACCGGGATCATCACTGCCATCGTCCTCTCCTTCAAATATGTGAGTGGGCAGGAGAGAGGGGCTGTGGGGTGCCGTGGCAGTCCCCTGCAGGGCTGGTGCAGGCAGGGGTTTGGGTGGTCCCTTTGCTGGGAAGCAGGGTGTGGTACCATGGAAGGCAGCTTGCCTGCAGGGGGAGGGTGCGTCAGCATGGGCAGCAGCTCCTCAAAGCCGGGTGCGGGCAGGACCTGCCCTGTTCCCCTGCTGCCTGCCAGCACCCCGGCTCATCCTGCTCCTGCTCCCTTCCCGCCAGGTGCCCTGGCTCCACATGCTCTACGCAGCCATCGGCGCCATCGCATTCACACTGGTGAGTTGGCAGCTGGAGCGGGCAGAGGGTGTGGGGCAGGGACTGGGGAGGGAGGAATTCCCCCGTGGTCCTTGCCTGACACGCTCTGTCCCTGCAGTTCCTTGCCTATGACACCCAACTTGTGCTGGGAAACAGGAAGAACACACTGAGCCCTGAGGAGTATGTCTACGGTGCCCTCACCATCTACACTGACATCATCTACATCTTCACCTTCATCCTGCAGATAGTGGGCCGGGATTAGCCCTGGCACCCCTCCTGTCCCTCTCTATCTGCCCCTCACCCCTCCTCTGGTCTCTGTACAGGATAGTCTGCTTACTGTGACTCTTAATGCTTTGGCATTCCTACCTGTAGGCTGCTAAGGAAAGGGCTTCCCTTGATCATCCCCCAGCAAGCTCTGAGAGCAGTGGCGGGGACTGGCTGCCTGCGTTAAGGCAGTTTAGCCCAGCTCTGGCACCGCTTACCGAGGCTGTGCCAATGGCATTGGGCTGGCAGCGGAATGTCACAGCCCTGCCTGGGCACAGGGAGCTGGCAGCAGCCGCTGGGATCATGCTGGGATTTTTTGGCAGAGAACAGTTGGTGTCATTCACTCTGTGCCTTAAATGTGGCTCTGGCCATGCCCCCTCCCCGAGCTGTGGCTGTGCCCCGTGTGGGCAGGGGGCAGCTGGAACCTCCGAGGCAGAGCTCACACTGCAGAGGCCCTGCAGCCAGGGATGTGGGCAAAGTTGCACTTGCTAAATAAAACACTTCAGTTTTCCAGACAGTGCCGGTCTCACTCTTGTGGCAACTCCCTCAAAAAACCTGTGGGCAGACCCAGTGGGGGCTGCGGCCTGGTGCAGCACAAACACTGATTTGGGATGGGAAAACCAAGGTCAAACTGCTGCAAGCCTGGCCTCCCTCCCCTGCCTGTAGCCCCTGCTGTTGTGGGCAGAAGCCCAGCTGCAGAACACCTGGGGCCCCGCTGCTGAGGCAGGCAGAGCCTGGGTGAGCATTGAGGGAGCAACCACAGTGGCACTGAGCTGTTTCACTTTATTTGTCCCTGTTCAGCTCCACAACCACTTCATGGTCTGGACACGCAGGGCAGACACCACTGTCATGTGTTCCAAGGGGCTGGTGTCAGCTTGGCCAGTCCCTCCAGGGTGCCGCAGTGCCAGCCTGGCCGTGGGGCAGCCTGGCTATGCCCCCCTGACCATCCTGTTGTACCGCTCCGTCTCATACTCGCCCTGGTTGGCTTCCATCATTGCTCGGCGGACTTTGAGCTGCTCAAGGCGGTTTTTGTCCACTTGCCGTTTGGTCAGGAGGAAGAGGATGATGCCGGAAGGCAATCCAATGGCCCTGCAGGACAGCCAGCGATCAAGGAGATGGAGAGAGTGAGTGGGTGGGAAGCCAGGGTGCTGTGCCACGCCGGGGCTGCACGGACAGTGCCCTGTTCAGCACTAGAGACCCCCAAGACCCCTGTTCCAGCCCCACAGAGCAGTGCAGCCTTCCAGAGCCAACGCTCTGCCAGCAGCTGAGCCACTCACCAGGCCACCCCCACCGGCTTCATCGGGTTCTTGCCCTTCTTGCGGGTGGGGATGTACTCCACCCCCTCGGGGAGCCCCCCGCTGCCGGGCTCCTGCCTGGCGCGTTGTCCGGCTGGCCGGGGGCAGCTCTGCCCAAAGAGCCGTGTGCCCCGGGCGTCCGGCCGCGCCCAGGCCTTGGCAGGGCACGCCGAAGCTCTTACAGCCATCAGCAGTCCTGCGGGGAGAGAGGCATTAGGGAGGGGCAGCCATGGGGTAGAGTGTGGGGGGCCCAGCCCGGGCTGCCTGAAGCTGCTGTCCCTGCCCTTACCCCGGCTCTCTTCCCTGCCTTTTCCCTGCCCTTTTCCCTGTCCATCCCTATCCCCCTGCCATAGGCCTGCCCTTCCGCCAGAGGGCGCTCCAAGGCGGGGCCTGACCCGGGGGCGTGACCAACACAATGGGCGTGGCCAAGCGCAGCGGGGGCGTGGCCCTAAGCCCTGTCCTCAGCGGGGCGGGGCGGGGGTGCGTCCCGGGGCGCTTGTGCCGAAGGCCGCGGGGCAGTGCCGTGAGGGAGGTGGCGGAACGGTCCCGGTTCCCCCGCCCCGGGGCTGCCCCCCTGACTCCTGCCCACCCGCTCGCCCGTCCGCCGTTACCCCGCAATCCGCCTCGCGCCGCCGCCATGGTGCCGGTGTGCGCCAGCGGCTCCGCTGCATGCCGGGAGCTGCAGTCTCGCCACGCAGGGAGTGTCGGCGGGCGGCGCCGCACGGTGTGTGCTCAGAAAACTGCATCTCCCAGAGTGCGCCGCGCGGGGCGGGGCCGGTTCGCGCTGCTGGCGGAAAGGGCGGGATCCGCGCGCGGCCGCGGGCCGTGGTTGGCTGGGGCGGGCGGGGACTGAGCGGGGCGGGGCGGGGCGCGCGGCGGAAGCGGCGGCGGCGGCGGCGGGCGGGTCGGCATGGAGCCCGGGGAGGGCCCGGGGGCGCTGGACCTGCACGGCGACGAGGAGATCATCGAGGTGGTGGAGCTGGGCCCGCCCGGGCCGGGTGAGACGGGGCGCCCTGCGCCACGCAGCGGGCAGGGCCTGCGGGGGTCCGGCCTCTCGCCGGGGCACCGGGAGCGCTGCGGCCCCACCCCAGTGCCGGGCCCGGCCGGTGCATCCCCCCGGCCCGCGGCCTCTCCCCGTGTCGCGTCCCGTTCCTCTGCGGTTTCCCTGCTCTGGGGCTCGTGGCCGCACCGCGCATCCCCCGCTGTCCCGCCGAGCCGGGCAGCCGCGAGCCGCGCCCTGACCTTCGCCCTCTGCAGATGACCTGGCCGAGGAGATGGAGGACGTGGACTTTGAGGACGAGGGGGCAGAAGAGCCCGATGCCGAGACTTGGGAGTCGGAGGATGACGAGGGGGTGGAGGACGGCATGGAGGCACAGGACGACAGTGAGGTCACGTTCTCGCTCCACTCGGGTGAGTGCTGGGCACGGGCAGAAGCAGCTGGGACCCCCCTGGGGACATGGTTTCATCTTGGCTGGCCCCAGAGTCCAGGGGTGCAGTGCACCTTGCTAGGCTGCTGTCTCCTAGCCTTCTTGGGACAGCCGTCAGGATTCTGAGCTGCCCTGGGCTTGTTTCTGCCTTGTGCTCTGGCAGAAGAGCCCTTTGGGCCTCTCATTCCATTAGCAGCTGGCCCTAAGCTCAGCAGAAAGGCTGTGCCCCTCCTCTCCCGCGTGAAGAATTGATTCACACTGGGCTGGGTTGAGAGTTCAGCTTGCTGACGTCCCACCCAGACCAGTGCTGCACAGGGTTTGGATCCCCTGGGAACATCAGGTGAGGTGGGATCAGCCATGTAACCTCTCTTTGCTCTTTTGTGAAGATTCTGTCTTCTGTGTGAGCCTTGACCCCAAGACCAACACGCTGGCAGTGACAGGTGGAGAGGATGACAAGGCCTTCGTGTGGCGTGTGAGTGACGGGGAGCTGCTGTTTGAGTGCTCAGGTGAGGTGCAGTGAGCAGCTGTGTCCCCTCTCTGCAGTGTCTATCTGCGCACATTTTTCTCCAGCTGATGCTGTGCTCTCCTGACCATCGTCCATAGCTTGCCTGAGCAGTCTCTGTCCCCTGATGTTTACAGGACACAAGGACTCGGTCACCTGTGCTGGCTTCAGTCACGACTCTGTGTTCGTGGCCACAGGTGACATGTCTGGGCTTATCAAAGTGTGGCGGGTGGATGCCAAGGAGGAAGTGTGGTCCTTTGAGGTGGGAGACTTGGAGGTGAGTGGTGCTCTGGGGGGCTCCCCAGCCAGCAAGTGGGGTGGCAGCACTTCGGTGACGCTGCCTGTCCCTCTCTCTGCTCAGTGGATGGAGTGGCACCCTCAAGCCCACGTACTTCTGGCTGGTACAGCTGATGGCAACACCTGGATGTGGAAGATCCCCAGTGGGGACTGCAAGACCTTTCAGGGTCCAGCATGCCCAGCCACATGTGGCAGGATCCTGCCCGATGGTGAGGCGTGGGGCCTCTCTGCAGTGTGAAATGTCACCAGCTCTGTGTGGGCCATCTGCCCTCCTGCTTCTCCCAGTCTGTGCTGAATGGGAGGTGGGGGGATGGGGGGGCCCTGTCTCTATCTGCTATCTCTGTCTCACCCAGGAAAGCGAGCAGTGGTGGGGTATGAAGACGGGACCATGCGCATCTGGGACCTAAAGCAGGGAACCTCGCTGCATGTCCTGAAAGGTAAGGAAGAAGCAAGAGGTTTGTCACCTGGGCTACTCCCTAGTTGGCAAACAGCCCCTTCTAGTGGGCTCTGACCTCTGCCTGGGTGGAGAGGAGGCATCCTGTGAGGACAGGAGGGAGCCTGGCACAGGGTTTGTCTATCCCCAGCGGTGGCTGTACCTTGCTGGGGTGCTGGCAGAGCTAGGCAGGGTGGAGGCTGCAGGGTGGTGTGTTTCAAGGCTCACTGGGTCTCTGTGGGGAGGGCACATAAAGCTCATACCTGCTGCTCACCCCCCAGGCCAGGATGGCCATCAGGACCCCTTGACGTGTGTGGCCAGCAACCAGGATGGCAGTTTGATCATGACGGGCTCTGTGGACTGTCACGCCAAGCTAATCAACTCTGCCACAGGCAAGGTGCGTCTGCGTGGGCCGGGGGCAGAGCCAGGAGCGCTGGGGACCCCTCCCAGGCAGGGCCGGTGTGCGGCCATCGGCAGCCGGCAGGCGGCGCCCTCGCGCTGCGGCGGAGCGCGGGCTGGGTGGTCCCGCCGGCTCCTGGAGGGACGCTCCCTCCCTCCTGTTTGCTCCCGGCAGCTGAGGATTTGCGGCCGCGCCTTGTTCTAATGAGGGCGCAGGCTCGGTATGGAGTGCGAACGGGACCTTTGTGCATCTGGGTCTCCTGCCCTCGGGGTACAGTGTCCCTCCCTCTACCCAGGTGGTGTGCGTGTTCAAGATGGAGAGCGTGACCCCCAAGGCACCCGTCAGTGAGGGCGAGGAGGCAGAGTCCAACTCAGTGGAGTCGCTGGGCTTCTGTAATGTGTGAGTGCTGGGACAGCCCCTCTTCAGTGCTACATCTTACAGGGCTTGTCATACAGATCCATTTGCATCCCTTGCGCTCAATCTGCTGCATTTCTCTTGCTCCATCCTCCCCAGCTGGGTATGGAGATGCCAGATCCCTTTGGTATGAGGCCAAGGGACACCAGCTGCTCAGCCCTCCCTGCAACTGTTGGGATTCTGGGCTAGCCTGGTGGACCACTGCTTGGCTGGGATACTCTAGACAGGTGTTTTCCTGTCAGGACATTGTCATCTTCACAAACCACGGGCTGGTTGCTGACTTGCTGTACTGTTGGGTTTCCCAAGTGGTGTGTTTGATGGCTTCAGGGATCAGTTTGTCCCTCATCTTCTCAATGCATTGTAGCCTTCAGCATAGGGTTTGCCTTTTACCTGGAGCCTTTATGTGTTTCCATCCCTGCTTGCCCATGTCCCATGTAATGCCTCTTCCCGTCTGTAGGATGCCACTGGCTGCTGTGGGCTATCTTGACGGCACACTGGCTATTTACGACCTCTCCACACAGAGCCTGAGGCATAAGTGCCAACACGAGGTACTGCCCTCCCCCCCTGCCCAGGCCTGGGAGGTGGGCTTTGGGCCTTTTGGAGAGCTCCTTTGGAGCCCAAGGACCAGTTCCCAATTTGTACTTCTCCCTTAGCGTTGGGCTTCCCCAGAGGGCAGCCACAGTCTCTGCAAAACGGATGTGCTTGGCCCTGGGGTCTGGCTCTCCTGGGGGGATGGCAGACACCA